AGAAATAGACTGAGAAAGCATACACAAGAGTTCAAATGCTTTAAGCTTCTATCAGAAAAAACCATGAAGCTGTCAAATATAAAAAAAAATCCACAAGATTACAGACAGATTGATGCTTCCAAAGGGTCTTGAGGAGCTGTCAAACTGTTCTTGCTCTCCTTCTCTCTCCTTTTATGTGCATATATACACACATGCATGCACACATATACACAAGACACACATGAACCCCAGCCACGCATCTTTGCGCTGTAATCTGATAGTCTATTTAAAATGTTATTTAAAATTATTATTCTCAGGCAACAGAAAGCACACAGGCCAGGATAAATTATCTTTGCAAATTTTCTCAGTTTTGCGATGAAAGAAACAGAAAAACCCCGTACTTCAGTTCCTGACTTTTTAACCTGCAAAACTCCTTGAGATCTATAAAGAACGCCACGAAAGACTAATCATTAAAGAGGATTCAATAATAAACAAGTAGACATCTCATTGGGCTTATACTATAAAATGATCTAAGAAACTTAAGTGCCTAGCAGTTTAACTCAGTAATCCTGAACCATTTGAAGCCTTGACTTGAAATAAACATTCTCTCCCCTCTTTGCCGGAAGAAATAAACAGAGGACTTCACCGAGGCTAAAGTCAAATCTACACATTTTTCAGCCAATGCTTCAAAATACGAGCTTTTGTTCTTCCATCGGCATAGGAAGTCATTTATTGTTTTGCCTGCTGCTCTGTTCCCACGATTCGACTAAAAAAAAAAAAAAAACCCACACTGACTGAAAATGAACTCTTTCAAAGATCTTTCCAGCAGCAAGCATACTCTTTATTATTTTGAATTAATAAGTGATTTATGTAAATTACTGATTTGGACAGAAAGTAGCACTTCTGTATATGCTCCTCTTTAAGTGAGGGGAAAAAAAGCTGACACAGCATTTCCTTTCTGCCTACTCAGTGAAATATCTCGACATCTGGAGTACACCAATGCTCCCTATACTTAAAGAATATTTGAGAGATTTCCATGGGATACATTCCTGTAAAATCTAAGCTCAAGTATCACAGCGGATCAAACATCTAAGTAGTCACAGCCCCGGGTAAGGCATTTCTGGAGTCGGCACGTTAAACGCTGCCAGGGTC